GGCGGGGTTCACGTGCGCTGTGATGGGCATGTTGGGATGCAGGTCGAGAGACGTCTACTGGCTGCCCAATCGGAACTACCTTTCAGGTGAGCGTGAGTGAGGCTTTGGAGGTTGCCGAGTGCTGAGCATTCGGGCCATTTGCAGGCTACTTGGTGCTGACTGTCTTCAGCTTGCTGACCTGCGCCGGGCTGTTGCTGTTGCTCGTCTACGACCCGCGGCCAGGCACCGCGTTAGCTGACATGACCTCAGCTGCGGTCTGTGGCTTTTCAGTGCTCACGCTGCTCCTAGCGCTGACTGGCGTGGTTTCTAGCTACTGTTGCAAGTACCCGCCACCCGATAACCGAGTGGATCACTGCTCGCCCGGCTTGACTGTGTAGCTGAGGCGGTTTCTCCCTGATTTGCGACCAACCAAAGATGCCCGATAGTCAACAGCTGTGTTAACCCGTTAGTTTAGGAAGATGTAATGTTATGGCTACGCTGTTATAGCTCTTTATAGTACCTACTTAGATTCCAAGCTAATGTATTTTAGGCGCCTATTTATGATGATGTTAATGAAACATTTCCTAGATTTATATCGTTTGTACTTCAAATGCACCATTAAACTGTACCTAGATGCTGGATGTTTTTTTATCCCTGTTCCATGTACAGGGTGATTCATTAGCCCGTTGGGCTAAGCTTGGGAAACTCAATTAATTTTTAGGAGTTGGCGCAGTGGCTTGGTGCGCCAACCCAACGCACCGGCGCAGTAACTCAGTTCCGTTGCTGGGAAAGTGTTGACGAGGTTTTAACTTGTTTTTAGATTTATTTTAAGGGCCATTTATCAATAATATTTGTAACATTTCTTCAAAATTTTCCAGTTTTAACAAAGCTATTATTTTTTATAAATGTTCAATTTTCTAAAGATTCACTTCAAAAACGTGACAAATGGGATTTTTTAGTTTTGACTGAATTTTTTGTGCTTTGCTTTCTACGCAAAAACGCTCTATTTTGTAGAGTTTTGCTTAAAAATACTGACGATCTAGATGTATTTTACGTGAAAAATCACAAGATATATTTATAGTTTTGTAGGAATTTTACAAAAACTTTCTTTGGAGTCGAATTCGGGGCAAAAACGGAAATAAATTTATCCCGTTTTACCTCGAAAACTATTGAGGTTTTCGCAAAAACCGATCAAAAAACTAAAAGTTTTTAATAAAAAGCGCAAAGAAATATAATTTTCTGACAATAAAGGGGTCTTTGCAGCGAAAAATGACAAAATTGATCTTGCTGGAAAATTCTCTGCATGCATCGGTTTGCAGGGAACTTTAGAAAACCGATTTCAGTTTCGAATAACAGTTTTTTACCGAAAGCAATTAAGAGTATCTTAAAAAAAAACGGCCATAGTCAAAGTTTTCAAAAAAATAATTTGGAAAATTGTTATAATTGTTAAAATATTCTAAATTCATTAATGCGTTAAACAAAAAGACCTGATGAACAATCACCTAATGAACAAAAAGCGAATTTAACCCCCAAAACAACTTTTTCTGTTTAGCGATGGTAAATGAACAACTAAACTAAACACTACTAACAACTAAACGATAATTGTTTATTAAAATCCACGGGTAAAACCAGGGGGGGATCCAGCTTTAAATTTAGGGAGGGGAGGTTATGTAGAAAAAATACAGTCTTCTGATGTCTATGAAATTATAACAATTATCGTCGTTTTGTGCAAGGGTGGCGTAAGATTATTGCAAAATTTCATGTTTTCCGTCCCGTTTTGCATGTTTATCGGAAGCAAAATGAGCAAGAAGGCTCGTGTTTACATCATTCCAAAGAGAACTAAATGGCCTTTTTACAAAGTGAACCATCGATAAGAAAATGTTAGCAGTTTTCTCAAAAAATGCTTGAATTCAAGAAGTTTTAGATTTGCGTGGTTTTTTTTTTGAGTTGCAAAATCCACTTGAACACGTCGCTGCTTTTTTCGAAGTTTCTCAAGTACCATTCGAGCCACAGAATTCGTTTTGGCATCGTTGGATAGAGAATTGAAAAGTCGATTCAGTCGTAACAACGTGAGTGAGGAA